AATCCGAAGCACAAGCGGAAGATGTGAGATCGATTATTGATTTCAATTGATTTTGTTCGGCCTTTCATATCCTATTTGTCCAGGTAATCGCAGACGATATGACACTAACCGACGAGGAATCGCTTCGTGAAGAGCTGGTGCGAACACCTACACCAGTAATGGCACCGAAATTCATCACGAAAATCAAGGACTCGAGGGCTAAACGCGGTCACGAGGCCATTTTCGAATGTGTTGTCCGAGACACGAAGGGCGTGTGCTGTAAATGGTAAGGTCCTGTGAATTCTAAGTGATAAGTCCCACTTGTCAAAGTACTACCCGTTTAGGCTGAAAGACGGCAAGGAAATTGAGCTCATTGCCCGAATTCGTGTTCAGACTCGAACAATCGAGGGACATGTCGCCCATGAACTTATCATCGGTGGGTACATGCCCCCTCCCTCTACTCACGACTAAAGAGAGTTTCCAAGATTCAAACATTTGCAGATGATGTACGTCCTGAAGATGCCGGCAAGTACACTGTAATTGTTGAGAACACTGCCGGACAAGATCGATGCGAAGCAACACTGACTGTTGTTGGTGGGTAGATAATTTTACTATTAGATCACTTTTGGAATGAGTACGAAAACAGTACTGAATTGTTTCAGAAACCCTCGATAAAGTACCAGAACGTGCTCCTGAGTTTATTGTCCAACTACAAGATAAATCCACTATGACCAATGAAAAGGTTACATTTGAATGCAAGGTTGTTGGTGAACCGAAACCAAATGTCATCTGGTATCACGAGAATGTGAGTTCGATGGATTTTACAACTTACTGCGGCGCAGTTCGGCTAGGAGGGGGGACATTTTGAGCCCTGTTCATCGCTTTACAAGAGTTGCAGTTTCTACAAAATTTGATGTAATTTGATGTAAAGGCACCCCATGCCTTTACAAAATTTCACAGGTCTCCAGTTGATGACTAGACACCTCGACGGGTACTAGTGCAAACGCAAAATGCCTCCTCCCTCTCATGCCAAACTGCCAAACTGCGCCCTTACTTCTTCTCTTTTTCTTCTTACTTCCCTCACATAAATACGCTATAGATTGTGGACATGTACAGGATGGCTACAAAGTATGGTCCGATAATTGTTCGCTCGACAAATGTTTTGAAATCTTTTTTTCAAACGGAAAACGCCCGGCGGTATAGAAACGATCGCTTCTGAGCAGAACACAAGCTTCCAATCTACTGACTTCGGACACTGGCTTCTGATTTTCGCTTGTCTCCTCCTGGTCTTATCCTCAGCCGTAGAGAACACTCCTGATGTTGATGATTCGACTGTATCGTGCGTCCTCGTCGGTTGAAATTCTTTCCATGGATTCAAGAGTTTTCTAAAGGGCGGACAGCAGAGAGCAGTCTCCTGGACTTCTCCACTATGACGTCCTTCGCAGCTTCGGTGTCTGCCCTCGGAATAAGAGCTATCTCACAGGATTCATCAGATACTAATGCTTAGCAGTATTTTGGATGTTCTTCTCAGCCAGTTTTTAATGCTGACGTCGTTTTTGCGGTGAATCTTCTTCCTAGTCCACTGAACTTGGCGGTTCTTGGCCGGCCCTGCTCTTGGGCCCGCAGATGATCTCCTCATTACCTATAGTGGACCACGATTTTTGTTGCTCATTTGTCGTTGATAGGAAGCCTTCTCACAATCTTCGCAGCAGGACATTACCGATGGGTCACGCTTGCACGAAGATAGTCCCACTCTGCAAAATCGTCGACACGGGAGCTATGACCAGGGCACAGCATCTTCCGGAGAATCCTCAGCAGGAGTGGGGAGGGAGGTTGTATTTGGTCTTAGTGGGATTTTTTCTAGAAGCGGTAGACTTTTTCCATTGTTCACTTTTCCGTGTTCCTCTGTTCCATGTGCGCTTTATTCCCTCCTCTTCCCTCTTTCCCCGAGGCATTATTTGGGTGGGGGGGGGAGCGGAATATGGTAGGAAGCTGGGAAAATGTAGGAAGATGGTGGGGAGAATGGGATGGTGGGGAAGCGGTCGTAGTACCATAGAACTGAATTTTTGGGGGCGGGGAGTGATAGAATGCTTTGCCA